CTGAAGCCCAGTGTCCACGATGCTAGAAATCCGTCCGAGATCTCGGATGAAGAAAGAATTGACCAATCGTAATGATCATGTGACTAAATTGTTTAAATGTGATTGGTTAATTCTTTCTCTCTCCGAGATCTCGGACCAATTTCTAGCATCGTGGACACAAGGCTTTAAACGTATACATCTGTCCTTATCTAACATATGCCAGTACCATCTATCGCAAGACTGCGCAACTATTACTACACGGAATTTCGACTCTGTTGACAGTCCTAGTCTTCGCAAAGTACCCGTATATACGTATTTTCTATTCGGTAAGATTACTTTCCTTCTAGACTTTCAATCTTAGTTCTATAAACTTGGTATCGTTCGTTACAATAATGTGACCTCAAACCTATGCTTATTTTTAAGATATAAACTATAAAACTCTTGTATGAAGCAAATATAGACCTGAGGTGTCAGCTGTACGAGCTAAAAGTAAGCGAATTTTTAAACTTTTCTTCGATTTTCTCCTAAAATCCGATACAGCTGAGGTCCTGTTTGTGCGTACTTTAATTCTGTAAAAACAATTGTTTGCAATCCGTCAATTCAATTCGGAGATATTTCACCGAATGGAAATGATGGTAAAGTAGAACAACTTTAGCATCCCCTTAATTGGAAAGCAGCCAAAAATAAATTTTCGCGAATTCAGCGATTGGTCGAAATATCGTCTTCATGTAAATCCGCCATTACGGCCTGGGGAGTATGCGTAAAAGTGCCGGAAGCTTCTCTCGATCAAATGTAACCGCCTTCGTTCATTTTACGACTGCATCTCTCGGAGGACGTGTCGTTAGCGTCCTTGCACGTGTTGCACATCCTAGTTCATCATAGAAAGGTGAGATTGTTTTCGAAATCCATCATCATCCGCGTGCACACTTCGTCCGGGCATCTCGCGATTGGTTTCCTGCGCACAATTTTTCCTGAATTTAATAATCTCGATTATATTTTTCAATTATATTTCGGCGCAGAGCTTGAGCACGTTTCGTTTCGTCCCAACGTGATGAACATTTTTGTCTCGTTCGTATGATTATCTCTTGATTATAATCCTTACGTTTCTCTGATCACACCAATTCCCATGGCGATGTATCGCCGCATGCTTTTAACACCATCGCGATTTTAGTTCCCGTTTCTCTTTTAGTGCTGGGTTTGTAGAGCTGCCTTCCTCTCTGTCTTTCTCTCATATCGAAGAGCAGAGCCACTAAATAGTTTGTGCTTAGCATCATAATCGTTTTAGTGAGTATTTTGTTTCTCTTATGTTTGAAAAAGGATTTCGATCCTTGTTCCGCCATACACATTCTCGTTTGAGTTGCATTTTGGATCATTCTGACCATCTGCAGATGGACAATCTTGGAATTACATTTGAAAATATTGCCTGATGTAAAACTTTTCCATTGTTTTATTATTAATATTAATGGTAATTTAAACGCAGAAAGAGAGATTATTTCGTGAAATAAGATACACAAGATTTATGGATAGAATCTTAATGTATTAAAATATATAGCAAAAAAATCAAATCAAATTTTATAAGTCTGTTTGTATTGTATGTTTTAACATGGTTCAACACGCTCCTACCATAGTTTCTATTCACTCCAAACTACTCATTGGAGTAACTAGGAACTACATTGAAAAAAATGCATGTAATTTTACATGGAAATTACATGTTCATGACTGGAAAATTGTCTAAATATGATTAGAAATTTACAATTTCCAATAAATTTCCAAGCATATTTATGTAATTTAGATAATTTTCCAGTCGTATATATGTGATTTCCATGTAAAATTACATGCATTTTTTTCAGTGTATGGATTGGTAGGAATATGTTGGAGCACATTGAGCATGCAATGCGAACAAACCTATAAAGATACAAGATAATATCCTGTTTGTGAATAGATTGGTTTTTTTTTTGCTGTACTTTAACGTAACGTGGAAAAAGATATTTTTGTTTCTTTAATCGACATTAGACGTAATTGGTGTATCTAAGATTTCAGTTGGGGGAGAGGGAGAGCAAAAATTTATTAAAAATTATATGATAGAGACAATTACTGCCCCAGTCTGAGAACTGTGACTGATTCAGTTGACTGATAAAATTGTTTCTATTTTATTTTTTCGATATATTATAAAGAGAATACATTCTAATATACATGTATCTCATCTACAGTGTTCAATAAGAGCGTATGGTTCCGCACTTCATTAATATTAGGTGTACAAAAAAGTCTGAGCTTTAGATTTCATACAACCGAAATAACAATTTAAATTTTATATATCAGGTGTAAAAAGAAATCCATTATTTTTCCAATAGATGGCTCTAGTAATTTGTATCTCGCGTTGTATAAGTGCGATCGGGTTACGCTAAATGGCGTTAGAAAAATAAGATTTTGTACTAAAAAAACTTCTCAGACAGTTTTGTGATTGCTTGACTCAGTATTGTTTGAGTGCGCGTCAAAGATGGACACCAGCAAAGAGAAAATACGCCATATTTTACAGTTTTTCTTCGATAAAGGCGAAAACGCAAGCCAGGCGGCTGAAAATGT